GTATTAAGGGGCCCCAAATAGTATTCGTACATAATTAGCTCTACAAAATATTTTGAACATAAAAAGTTGACCTAAAACCCCCCAAAACAATTGAGGGGTATATTGGCCAACTCATTTGTCAAGAATAAGTTTTATTATTATTTGGTGCACCATTAAATATACATAAATAAACCAAATTTTAAATAACTATTTTTTAAAAATAGGAACGTTTTTTTTACTGTTGAATGTGGGCGTATGTATCTGAACCATGGGAAGTGTTGTTGTACACGCTTCCTGTACCTACATGATGTGGATAGAGACTTTCCCATGGCAAAAGTAAGCTGAGGACACAAAATACTGATTTAAAGTATCGAGGGCCGGCCTGGTTAAGAAATTTGATGCGTCCAACTTTGTTATCACGCCAAATTACAGTAGAAAAACTGACACCACACTCAAAAGACATGGAAATTACTTGCTTGCATATAACACTAGGCAGGATGGAATCGAAGGAAATAGGAATCAAAGGGCTACACGTTTCCACTCTCGACTATGATCATCACTTATGGTTTTGCGCCAAAGATGATGGGGTGCATCATCTAACACTCTCCCGCTAAATTCATCTCCAAAACCACTACATTTCACTCGTTGGAGGGTGGGAACGTGCTCCAACCCTTGTGGAAGCATCCTCAATTTGCCACACCGGTAAATCTGTAGAAATTGAAGGCATGCCATGGATCCTTCCTCCAATCTCCTCCACTCTTCTAATTCTTCTAAACCCCAAATTTCCAAGTGTTGCAGTCGAGGAAAGCCCCCAACAATGCAATGCATCTCCTTCCCCACATATGCACGATATCGTAACTCCAGGAATTTGAGTTGCGGCAACTCTTGGAGCTTTGAGAACCCCTCCTCATCCAATTCACTCCACCATAATAACAACTTGGTCAGGTTTGGGAGCCTCCCAAACCAGCTTGGCACCCTCCCTAACTTCCCACGTAACAACAATTTCTCAAGAGCCAAGGGTGGCCTTGAAACTGCTTCCAAATTGTGCACTACTCCAACATTTGACCACAGAGATAGAAAACGCAGGCATTGTACGTCCCCAATCGACCCGTAGATTTCGTTGATCTCACCATCCTCATCTTTAATACCAACTTTCCTGAGTTGAGAGAAATTGCTCAATGGCTCTCGTATGATGCCAGACCACACACCCCACAACGTTTGGAGGCTTCTCGAAGTCCCTGCCTTCAAATGCATCGGTTGCACGGATTCAAGCAGCGCATTTGCGTAAAAGTGTCTCAGGCTGGGTAACTCTAGGCTCCAACTTGATTTTAAGCTTTTACAAATCGTATCATAAGTAAAATGTCCAGGCCTCATGTCAAACACTTCCAAATGTTGAAGAGCTCTTATGGACTTTGGAATCTCACCACGAATGCTGCTTCCTCGAAAACTCAAGCATCTGAGAAGAACCAAACTTCCCACTTCATTTAGTGGACATTTAAGAACAATGTTCTCAAGCAACAATACCCGAACTAGCTTAGCATAGTGTAGACAGCTTTTGGAGACAGATGGGCGCATCGATTGTGAAAAGAAAAGGAATGAACGAATTTTTGAAGGATTTGAAACGACGTGGACATCCATACCTTGATGAAAGGCAAGGCGTCGAGTCTTTTGAGAGGGCATGCTATCTTCACCGGCAACCAACCCCAAGAAGTTGTGCTCCCCTGCTTTTTTTAAGCACATGTCACGCATAAGATCATGCACAACGCAAGATTTGATGCGTCCAGTCAAACTCACGCTTTCCACTTGTATCATACTCCGGCTTGCCAATTCTTCGAGGTAGTCCTCCGCCACATCCTCCAATATCTCATCTCCCCTCTTTTCAATAAACCCCTCAGACACCCATAATTGTACTATTTTTGTTCGGCTAATTTTGAAATCTTCAGGGTAAGCAGACAAATATAAAAAACATGGCTTGAGGTAGTTCGGTAAATCGAAATAACTCAATGATAGTATCTCAGAGATTCTGACCTCACCTCTGTCTTGATAATGGCTGAACCCATCAAGCGTTTTCTTCCATTCTGATGCTCTCTTTATATCCTCGGACACTAGCTTCGTGGACAGTAGACCACCAATTACTACCAGTGCCAATGGTAACCCTCCACACCTTTCCACAATGCCATGGCCGGTTTCTCTCAAATATTCAGGACAACTTCCATTGTTCTTCACAAAAGCCTTTTTGCACAACAACTCCCAGCTCTCTTTGTATGGCAATGGTTTGAGAACGTGGATGGTGTTCCTCTCCACCATTTTAGCCAAATCCTCATTCCTGGTTGTTATTACAACCCTACTGCCATTCTTCACATCTGGCAGCGCTTCTCTTATACAAACCCAAGCACTGATATCCCACATATCATCCAATACTATTAAATACCTCCTTCTGCTCAAATTTTTATGCAGATCCTCCTTCAACAATTGTTCACTCTTGTTTTGTATGTCCACAGTTGACCCAACAACCTTAATGATCATGTCACAAAGCAGCTCAATCATGCTGTAAGTTTGAGATACGCAAACCCAATCAAAATAATTGAAATGTAGCTTAATACCATCTTCATTATAGACTTTCTTGATGAGAGTTGTCTTGCCAACTCCACCCATCCCAACCACAGAAACCACGCTGAACTCTCCCTCCCCATCCATCAATGACTGCTTTAGAGAGTTCGCCTTTTCTTCAATACCTACTAAATCCCTTTCCACTTCTAGAGGTGATGTTCTCCTCATCTCTCTCAGCCTTTGGACTCTAGAACTTGCGGTTTCGCCCCCGTGGCTTCTCTGTGGTAGATCATAGACAACCTTCCCCCTTGCAATAGCACCGAGCTGATTGCTGATACCTTCAATCCTCCTGCCCACCTCGTGGCGTCCTCTCAGCTGCAAAATCAAACCGGCATAATTAGTCAAGCGACCCATAAATCCCCTTCTCTTTCGTTGCAAAGCCTGAAGGACAAACGTTTCGACGATGTCCTCAGCTTTGCATGCAAGATCTCCTATTTCTTGCACCAAATTTTCTGTTATGTGACCACTGTCTCTTATTCGATCTGCGTCTCTGAGGAATGCCTTCATCCGCCTTAGCTCAACCGTGAGCCCATCTACTTGGTCCCCTATTCCGTACTGGAAAATCGCTTCCCGTACAAGTGCTTTGGTTAATGTTTCCAAGATGCTAACAACTACATCCTCCATTTCCAATCTTTCCACTGCACTCAGTGCTCTCTCTCCTCTACAGATTTATATTTAATAAAAGTCATTTGTTAATGTTAAAAAAAAATAAAAAAACTACAACGCGTTTTCGTAAAGACCACAGCCGCATTCGTTTGAATAAAGATGAGCGTTATTTTAATAAAGACGTCGACTACGTCCACGGCCTCAATCGTTCGAGCTGGTTCGCAGATGGTTAGTGGCCGACAACCATGAGAATTTTTATATTTCGATGGAGAAAAGAAGCTTCGTAACCGACGATCATGAGAATTTTTTTCCATTTCGATGGAGAAATTTGAACTGTCAATGAAGATTCGTTTAAAATGATATTCAACATAAAACAAGAGATAAGCCTAAGGATCAACCAAAAACTCGAAAAGAAGAGTGCAAGCAAAGTATACAAATTTAATTATAATATTTCAAAAAGATGTATATAAATTCTCAAAAATATCGAATTTGATTTGTAATGTATTTTTAAATATTTTTTACATTATTGTAAAGATTAAAACTTGGTTTGGTCATTAATACTCACTTTTATATTTTCCCATCTTTTTTAG